TAAATCTCTTAGCAAAACTAGGTTTGAGACACAAACACAGCAGTGAAGAAATTAAAGTTTGTATAAGTCTAACATGACCTTGGATAGACCTAGGGGGGTTGCAAGAAGAACTTAGCATGAACTGTAAATTATATAGCAGGGGTCAGCAACCTGCGGCACACATGCCAAAGGCAGCATGCGGGCTGATTTTTAGTGGCACGCTGCTGCCAGCCGGGGTCCCAGCCGCCGGCCCCGCTCAGCCTGCTCCCAGCCTGGATTACGGAACCCCAGACCAGCAGCGGGATGAGCCACTCGGCCCCTTGCCAGCCAGGGTCCCGGCCGCCGGCCTCCCTCAGCCTACTGCTGGCCTGGATGGATGGAACCCGGGCTGGCAACGGGCTGAGCAGGGCCAGCAGCCAGGACCCCAGACTGGCTGCGGGATGAGCCGCTCAGCCCACTGTCAGTCTAGGTTCCCGGCCGCCGGCCCCTTGCCAGCCGGGGTCCCAGCCACCAGCCCCTTGCCAGCTCACTGCCAGCCTGGATGGATGGAACCCAGGCCGGCAGCAGGCTGAGCGGGGCCAGTGGACGGAACCCGAGACCGGCAGTGGGCTGAGCGGCTCAGCCCGCTGCTGGTCTGGGGTTCCGTCTGCTGCCCGCGCTACCGGTCTGGCACGCGAAACCTTAAATTAATGAAGACTTGGCACACCACTTCCCAAAGGTTGCTGACCCGTGTTGTATAGTATAGCTGACTATCAGGAAGAGGAAATATTTCACAACACTTTATAATTCCATGTGAGAAAAATCTGAGCTGTAGGGTTATAACTTTGTGCAATCCCATTTCATATAAAAAGTAGAAACATTTATTATTGTTCCTAGGGAACTGAGGATGGTATATTAGATTTGTATTCCAAATAACTGATATAGGGCTTAGTACTGGAAATTTGATCAAAAGGGTAGAATCAAAGCTGACCCAAGCATTTACCTTACTGAAGAACATAAATTCCCACTTGAAAAAACACAGGTATGGCTGATTGCTTGTGGTAAAAAAAGAAACCTAAAGCGGACAGAGGCTGTCATTGAAACGAGAGTAAAAGCAGAAAACTATCAGAGGAGGCTGGAGAAGGAATCTTATCCCAGCTGCAAAAAAGGAGAGTATTTAGAAATGCTGTGTTTAGGCAGATACAATTAGGGATTACATCTGCATAAGACAAGCAAAAATTGTTAAGTATAAAGAGAAAAACATACAATAGAGAGGGGGGTTTTGGGGGGCTTTTGTATTTTTTTTAAAGGTGAAATCCTGGCACCATTGAAGTCAATGGGAGTTTTGCCATTGACTTCATGGGAAACAAGGTTTCATCCTAAAGCTTTCGCCAAAGTGTAGACCCCAATAGAGGCTCCTCCAGTGGCAGAAAGTCCATTTCAGGACAGACTTTGCAGAATGAAAATCGAAGTGAGAAATGGGTATGGTTGGCCTGGGAAGTGGAGTATGGCTAGGGAGCTAGAAGAAGGTATGGGAGGGTGGAGGCAGTGCATTGACTTAATGTGTCCCCACAGCAGTTTCTGCCAGCAACATAAGAATAACCATACTGGGTCAGACCAAAGATCCATCTAGCCCAGTATCCTGTTTTCCGATGGTGGCCAATGCCAGGTGCCCCAGAGGAAATGAACAGAACAGATAATAATCAAGTGATCCATCCCGTCGCCCACTCCCAGTTTCTGGCAAATAGAGGCTAGGGACGCCATCCCTGTCCATCCTGGCTAATAGCCATTGATGGACCTATCCTCCATGAATTTATCTAGTTCTGTTTTGAACCCTGTTATAGTCTTGGCCTTCACAACATCCTCTGGCAAGGAGTTCCACACGTTGACTGTGTGTTGTGTGAAAAGATACTTCCTTTTGTTTGTTTTAAAACTGCTGTCTATTAATTTCATTTGGTGGCCCCTAGTTCTTGTGTTATGAGAAGGAGTAAGTAACACTTCCTTATTTACTTTCTCCACACCTGTCATGATTTTATAGACTTCTATCATATCCCCCCTTAGTTGTCTTTTTTCCAAGCTGAAAAGTCCCAGTCTTATTAAGCTCTCCTCAGACGGCAGCCGTTCCATTCCCCTAATCATTTTTGTTGCCCTTTTCTGAACCTTTTCCAATTCAGTATACCTTTTTTAATATGGGGTGACCACATCTGCACTCAGTAATCAAGATGTGGGCATACCATGGATTTATATTGAGACAATATAATATTTTCTGTCTTATTATCTATCCTTTTTTTAATGACTCCCAACATTTTGTTCGCTTTTTTGACTGTTGCTGCACATTGAGTGGATGTTTTCACAGAACTATCCACAATGACTCCAAGATCTCTTTCTTGAGTGGTGACAGCTAATTTAGACCCCATAATTTTATATGTATAGTTGGGATTATGTTTTCCAATGTGCATTACTTTGCATTTATCAACATTGAATTTCATCTGCCATTTTGTTGCCCATTCACCCAGTTTTGAGAGATCCTTTTGTTGCTCTTCACAGTCTGCCTGGGGCTTAACTATCTTGTGTAGTTTTGTATCATCTGCCAATTTTGCCACCTCACTGTTTACCCCTTTTTCCAGATCATTTATGAATGTTAAATAGGACTAGTCCCAGTACAGACCCCTAGGAAACACCACTATTTACCTCTCTCCATTCTGAAGACTGACCATTTATTCCTAGCCTTTGTTTCCTATCTTTTAACCAGTTACCAGTCCATGAGAGAACCTTCCCTCCTATCCCATGACTGCTTACTTTTCTTAAAGCCTTTGGTGAGGGACTATGTCAAAGGCTTTCTGAAAATCTAAATACACTATAACCACTGGATCCCCCTTGTCCACATGCTTGTTGACCCCTCTCCCCAAGAATTCTCGTAGATCGGTGAGTCATGATTTCCCTTTACAAAAAAACATGTTGACTATTCCCAAGCAAATAATGTTCAACTGTATGTCTGACAATTTTGTTCTTTACTATAGTTTCAACCAATTTGCCCAATACAGAAGTTAGGCTTACCGGCCTGTAATTGCCGGGGTCACCTCTAGAGCCCTTTTAAAAAATTGGTGTCACATTATTTATCCTCCAGTCATTTGGTACAAAAGCTGATTTAAATGATACGTTACAGACTACAGTTGGTAGTCCTGCAATTTCACATTTGAGTTCCTTCAGAACTCTTGGGTGAATACCATTTGGTCCTGGTGACTTATTGCTGTTTAATTTATCAGTTTGTTCCAAAACCTCCTTTAATGATACCTCAATCTCGGACAGTTCCTCTGATCTGTCACCTAAAAAGAATGGCTCAGGTTTGGGAATCTCCCTCACATCCTCCACCATGAAGACTGATGCTAAGAATTTATTTTGTTTCTCTGCAATGGCCTTATCGTCCTTGAGTGCTCCTTTAGCACCTCGATCATCCAGGTTGTTTAGCAGGCTTTCTGCTTCTGATGTACTTAAAAAAAATAAATTTGCTATTACTTTTTTTTAATCTTTGGCTAACCGTTCCTCAAATTCTTTTTTGGCCTTCCTAATTGTATTTTTACACTTCATTTGCCAGGGTTTATGCTCCTTTCTATTTTCCTCACTAGGATTTAACTTCCACTTTTTAGAGGATGCCTTTTTGCCTCTTTCTGCTTCTTTTACTTTGTTGTTTAGCCACGGTGGACCTTTTTTGGTTCTCTTACTATGTTTTTTTTAATTTGGGGTATACATTTAGGGTTGAGCCTCTATTATGTTGTCTTTTAAAAGTTCCCACACAGCTTGCAGAGATTTCACTTTTGGCACTGTACCCTTTAATTTCTGTTTAACTAACCTCCTCATTTTTCTGTAGTTCCCATTTCTGAAATTAAATGCTACAGTGTTGGGCTGCTGTGGTGTTTTCCCCGCCACAGGGATGTTCAATTTAATTATATTATGGTCACTATTACCAAGCGGTCCGGCTATATTCACCTCTTGGACCTGATCCTATGCTCCGCTTAGGACTAAATCAAGGATTGCCTCTCCTCTGGTGCGTTCCAGGACTAGCTGCTTCAAGAAACAGTAATATAAGGTGTCAAGGAACTTTATCTCTGTATCCCATCCTGAGATGATATGTACCCAGTCAATATGGGGATAGTTGAAATCCCCCATTATTATTGAGGGTTTTATTTCAATAGCTTCTCTAATATCCCTGAGCATTTCACTGTCACTATCACCATCCTGGTCGGGTGGTCGGTAATATATCCCTACTGCTATATTCTTATTATTTGAGCATGAGATTCTATGGTGCAGTTTGGTTCATTTAAGATTTTTACTTCATCTGATTCTACACTTTCTTTCACATTTAATGCCACTGCCCCACTAACGCGACCTGTTCTGTCCATCCGATATATTTTGTACCTTGGTATTACTGTGTCCCATTGATTATCCTCATTCCACCAAATTTCTGTGATGCCTATTGTATCACTATCCTCATTTAATACGAGGCACTCTAGTTCACCCATCCTATTATTTAGACTTCTAGCATTGGTATATAAGCACTTTAAAAACTTGTCACTTTTTAGCTGTAATTGAATGAGGGCACAGTGTTTTCATTGCCCTCTTCTCCGTGAGTGAATCCCTCCTGGCACAGCAGGCTCTCCTCATGTAGGGTTTGAGCCTGGCCCATTAGCTTTGACCCCACAATGTTTTCAATAGCTTCAAAATGAGACAAAAATGAGTTTGCCCACCCCAATTTGAAAGTGAAGTAAGTGTTTCTTTTACTTAAATACTGGTTGAGATCAAATTAAATTCAGAAGTTCTCTAAGGTATATTAGAATGCAACCCCAGGCTTGAATGTCATTGGATGCACATGGTTATAGTGCTTAGTAATATTGTATAGTGATTGGCTTTCTGCAGTGTCTTAATTGCAATAGTGGTAGTTCACTTTTGTATGATTCTACATGTTTAAATTTACTAGAACTCTGTATGTAAGTTAACCTTTGCTTATCATTCTTGAACCTAATACTCATAATATTTGCAAATAGGGTCCACGGGAAGCTGTTATCTGGCTTGCTGTACACCATAAGCAGAAAAAGGCTGTGGAAATCTTCTCCAGAGAGATTGCACCAGCTGGAACTGGAATGGGTAAATATTCACTACTTTCTCTTAGTATCTGCCACTTACTTTGTCGTTGTTGTTGTTGTTGTTTATTAATAATTGTGATAGAATAATTAATATTGTGATAGATTTGGGGATTGGTCCTGCTTTGACCAGAGGGTTGGACTAGATGACCTCTTGAGGTCCCTTCCAACCCTGATATTCTATGAACACAAAGACCCAGTTGGTGTCCCATGGTGCTATGTGCTGTATGAACACAAACTTGAACGTATACTTCGCTGAAATGGGGCCTAAGATATTAACAGACTTTTCAAGTATTGACTTTGTTTGGAGATTCACCTTTTACTCCTCCCATGTTTCTCAGCATTTCTGCTGCTGCTACCTTTTAAAAAAAAATTTATTAAGGCAAAGTTGCTATAAAATGTTAACATACTACATCGTACATTATTTATTCAGGATCAGGTTAATATTCAAAGAATCTGGCTAAAGATTCTAGCGGGATGGATTTGATTTAAATCACTAATCAGGAAGACTCGATTTAATCATGGATTTCTCCATGAAAATGCATTCTTGTTGGTTGTTATAACCTTAATACATATTCTTCACAACTCAGAGATAGATCTAGGTTTCATTTTTAGAAGGTACACACTATACATTTTTAAAATGATTTATTTTGAAAAATTTTCAGATTAGTTTTACAGTGATATCAGGAAATGAATAATTGAAACTATAGAAAACGATGGTGCTCTTGAAGGTGGATAGTCTTCAGAATCCTGTATGTTGAGGATGGATTCTCATAAAATAAGACAATGCAGTTATTTAATTATTATTACCATACTGCTCATTTAGTATTACTCATTGCATTCACTGACACTCAGTACTACTTTAGAGGTGAAATTGTAAAAGGAAGATCTGCCTATTTCAGCTATTGTTTTTCATTGCAACTGCATCTAAAATGATAGTACCATACAGTATTTTTTGCTCAAACATGAGAATTCAAGGAAGTCCAGAAGGAAGACAGGCAGTCCTTAAGAAAGAAGTATGAAATAAAAAAGTTTACCAACCTGAAGATCCTGCATGTTCAGACATGTTCCTTTCATCATCTTCAAAGCAGCTTCCTCCTGAGAAGGAACACTTCTCATGATGTTGTTTCATTTGGGAACCCAGGCCTTGCATTTCTTTGTTGCACTGTTTGCATTTTGCATGCATGCCTATCTTATCCACATGTAGAGGAACTTCCATTAAAATATTCCCCAACTGGGTCTCTTTTACAGCCTGCTGCCATTATAGGTTTTCCCTTCTAGTGAGAGAATGATATGGTAGATCTCAAATCAATGAAGGCTATACTCAGAAAGACCTCAAGAATTCTGGAATATGCTGCTCAAACAGCTTCACTTTTGTTTCTACTGCCTGTCCCTCCCTTCTCACATTTATTTCCAGATTTCTTCTGCTTGTCCAGATCTATTCCACCACCAACGATTTTCTATTCATTGAACTTTTTGAAACTTTGTACTTTTAGAGAGAGGTAAGGGATTGACTCTGTGTACACAAATTTGCAGAGGGACAATAGGATTGAGGTCTGTTATTTCTCACCTCTATTTATTTATTTAAAACATTTTTTCTGTTAACAAGCATGTTATCTCTGGAGACACAAATCCACAGATTGAGAACTGCAAAACTAAGCATCTCTGGTGGTATCTTCCAGACTGAGCATTGAGTCCCATTGGGTAGATAGAAAGATGAACCTAAATAATCTATACAGAAGCCCCTGGAGCCCCATAAGATTGGTTCCCTAATCCATGAACTATTGGAAATCATTTACAAAACTTTTCTTAAACATTACATGAATATATTGTCTCATACTATAGAATTAGAATGTATAATCCCTATTCTGTGATGAATTATCTTTGAGCTATAATGTATCTTAATTAAAACTATCTTTAGATAGTTTTTTTTCCCTCAAAAAAATCCGATTTTATTTATTTATTTATTTATTTTAAATCATTGATTTTTATCCACCCTGGATTCTAGGTTGCTGGTTGGGGAGCCCTCCTCATCTGGGTATTCATAGTTTTTCTTTCTGTCCACTTTTTATTGCCTTTCCACATACCTGTACAGCTATATGCTATATCTTTATTCTGTTACACCACATCCTTAGAAAACTCACAAATATCACTTTCACTAGAGGAATGCTATTTTTCTAGCAGAATTGGATTACATACTGCCATTTTGCTAGTGAAATAACATTTGTATCAGGAGATGAGTAACTCCTAGAGCAGGGGTCAGCAACCTGCGGCACGTGTGCCAAAGGTGGCACATGGGCTGATTTTTAGTGGCATGCTGCTGCCAGCTGGGGTCCCAGCTGCCAGCCCCACTCAGCCTGCTCCCGGCCTGGATTACGGAACCCCAGACCAGCAGTGGGATGAGCCGCTCGGCCCCTTGCCAGCTCCAGGTACCAGCGCAGCAAGCAGGTGCTTGGGTCGGCCAACGGAGAGGGGCGGCACGTCCGGCTTTTCGGCGGCAATTCGGTGGCGGGTCCCTCACTCTCATTCGGAGCAAAGGACCAGCCGCCAAATTGCCGCCGAAGACTGAAGCAGCGGTGGTAGAGATGAAGTGTCGCAGATCGCGATTGCGGCTTCTCCCCGCCTTCTTCTTTTTGCTGCTTGGGGCAGCAAAAACCCTGGAGCCGGCCCTGGGTACGGGAGGGGCGAGGGGTGCAGCAGAGGATTGGGGTGCAGTGTGTGGAGGGGGCTCCAGGCAGGGGATTGGGGTGCAGGCGTTGCGAGGGGTGCAGGGTATGGCAGGGGGCTCAGGGCAGGGAGTTGGGGTGCAGAAGGCATGCGGGGTATGAGCTCCGGCCCGGCGCCGCTTACCTAGAGTGGATCCAGGGTGGCAGCGCCGTGCACCACGGCCAGGGCAGGCTCTATGCCTGCCTGCCCTGTCCCCAGCCCCGCTCCGCTCCAGGAAGCAGCCGGAGTCCCTGGGGGGGAAGGGGAAACAGCACCATGTGCTGCTCTTGCTGCTCCTCCAGGTACCTCCCCCAAAGCTCCCATTGGCCACGGTTCCCAGTTCCCGGCCAATGGGAGCTGCAAGAGCACGGAGCCCTCTATTTGCCTCCCACACCCCTGCCCGGGGCTGCAAGGACATACAGTAGTTCAGCCGCTTCAGGGAGCGGCACGGGGCTCATAGCGACACGGGGTAGGCGGGGAGGGGGAGGCACGGGGAGCTTGGTGGGCCGCATGAAAGAACCCCACGGGCCGCATGCAGCCCGCGGGCCGCATGTTTGAGACCCCTGGTCTTATATGACAGGAGGAGGAGTAATGGCTACAGTAATACTGCCAAACAAATGATATATTTTCTAGATGACAGGTCTACAGAAAGATTATTGTAAAAGGTAACAAATAAGAATGCTTTGGGACCAAAAAGAATAAAAAGGTTATATTATTAAACTCAAAGGTGATTTGGTCTGAATTGAAGCTTTTCTTCCTGTTTCTTTTTCACATTTGGAGACTAAGCTTTGTAGGAGAGAGAAAGTGTACTGATTTACTCTGTACCAGATGTTCAAAAGGAATAGTAATTGGAAAAGTGTTGGTTTTTTTCTTTTTCCCACCTGCTTAGCAAGTGCACGCACGCACTTGGGTGCCTAATTAATACTTATAGCACCTTTCATCACAAATGCTTAGTTGCAAACAAACTAAGCACTGAAACATCTGATGAGACAGGAAAGTATTATTTCGGTGTATAGATGGTTTTCTCAGCTAATACAGAGAATCAGTGCAAGAATGAGGAATAGAAATCAGAATTATAGATTCCCATTCCTCTTTCCTAACACTAGACTGATTGTGCATCTTATTCGAGATAACACAGTGGTGAGAGTAGTATAAATTCTAGGCAGTGCAGCTAGTGACACCTCTAGTTAAAATTGCCCAACACTTTTAATTTAGGACTCTCTTCAATTTTTTTATAAATTTCTCAAATGTGTAAACCACTCAGGTCAAAATTTTCAAAGCTGGGTATTTGCCTAAGGCTGAATTTTTGGGGGACATTTCTGAGGTGAATATTAGGGGAAATGTTGTTGCATTATCTGTTTTTAAAATTTTTTAAACATGTTTGTTGAGACATTCCAAAGCCTTCATGTTCTGGAGCACGGACTTAGAATTTGGCAGTGGGGTCTCCCTAGTGTTGGCAATGTGCTTTTTGCTGTCTGTGAAAATTTTGCTCTGTTTAGTTCATAGAATCATAGAATATAAGGGTTGTAAGGGACCTCAGGAGGTCATCTAGTCCAACCCCCTGCTCAAAGCAGGACCAATTCCCAACTAAATCATCCCAGCCAGGGCTTTGTCAAGCCTGACCTTAAAAACCTCTAAGGAAGGAGATTCCACCACCTCCCTAGGTAACCCATTCCAGTGCTTCACCACCCTCCTAGTGAAAAAGTTTTTCCTAATATCCAACCTAAACCTCCCCCATTGCAACTTGAGACCATTACTCCTTGTTCTGTCATCTGCTACCCCTAAGAACAGTCTAGATCCATCCTCTTTGGAACCCCCTTTCAGGTAGTTCAAAGCAGCTATCAAATCCCCCCTCATTCTTCTCTTCTGCAGACTAAACAATCCCAGTTCCCTCAGCCTCTCCTCATAAATCATGTGCTCCAGTCCCCTAATCAATTTTGTTGCCCTCCTCTGGACTCTTTCCAATTTTTCCACATCTTTCTTGTAGTGTGGGGCCCAAAACTGGACACAGTGCTCCAGATGAGGCCTCACCAATGTCGAATAGAGGGGAACGATCACGTCCCTCAATCTGCTGGCAATGTCCCTACTTACACAGCCCAAAATGCCGTTAGCCTTCTTGACAACAAGGGCACACTGTTGACTCATATCCAGCTTCTCGTCCACTGTGACCCCTAGGTCCTTTTCTGCAGAACTGCTTCCTAGCCATTCGGTCCCTAATTTGTAACAGTGCATGGGATTCTTCCGTCCTAAGTGCAGGACTCTGCACTTGTCCTCGTTGAACCTCATCAGGTTTCTTTT